AGCCCTTGAGGACCTGACTTCTCCCAGTGCCTGGGGCCTGGGCGCTGAGGTCGGGGCCTGGGGACGCAGACCGTGGGGCAGAGCTTGGGTGTGGAGAGGACGCGTCCCCAGGTGGATGCTAAGGTGTGGGAGCCGGACAGGACTTTGGCTGGCCTTGGGGACCTCTGACACCTGGGTCCCCTTTCTGTGAAGGAAGAATCGAGCAGTTCTGTGGGTGGGTTCTTCGTGTCCTGCTGGCACAAATTTTAGGGAAGATGGAGGTTTAATGGAGGAGCGGCTGAGATTCAGGTGTGGAGGTGCTGGGCCCAGAGTCTGATCTGGAGCTGAGGTTGATCTTCCAGACAAGAGGGGATGGGGTTCGAGGCCTTGGAGAAAGGCCCAGGCTAAGGGTCCCACCCCGAAGTCTATGCCTCTCATCTAAGGGGTCATAAATAAAGGGAAGAGGCGTCTCTGGGGCCCACGAGAGAGACCCGGTGACAAAAGCCCTTGCTGGGGATAGAGAGGAGGCTGGCTGGATCAACACCTGGAAAGCAGCCCTGCCTTCCAGACCACAGGGCTTGTCCATCTCTCCAACCAGAGGTTGCGTTCACATGGCCTTTCTCTGGGAAAACGGGCAGGGCAGAGAAGCTCAGAAGTTCTCTCGCTTCTGCCATTGGGGTAGGGATGGGTTTCATTTTATTTTTTTAAAGCTTTACAGTGCTGTCCAATAGCACGTTCTGTGATGATAGACATGTTCTATATCTTTCTGTCCAACATGGTAGCCATGAGCCACGTGTGGCTATTGAGAATTTAAAATGTGGCTAGTGCAACTTAGAAACGGAATTCTGAATTTTATTTAATTTTAACCAGTTTCATCTTAAATAACCACATACAGCTTGTGGCTACAGCATTAGACTATATTGGACAGTACAGCTTTCAAGAGTACAAAGTGCTTCCACATCTGTGGTCTCTGTGGAGACTCATAACAACTCTTTGAGACACGAATTCTCAGACCTACTTTATGGACGAGACTACTGAGGTACCGGGTGGCGAATCTCAATGAGGTGGGATGTGCCCAAGGTCATGCCGCTGGGATGTGGCTGAGCTGGAGTCAGACTAAAGCCTACTGACTCCCAACCCCGTGTTCTCACTGCTACCAAGTAGTTGACCAAAGAGGGTCTGAGCAAATGGTAGGAGCAGCCCACATGGTGGGAGATGGACAGCCCAAATGGTGGGAGCTCTTTCCAGAACCTTCCCGAGGCCTGCCCATTCCGAATTTGGTCTCCTCCCAAAGGTGGGGGTTTTGTGTGGAAAATCTGAGCAAACCTCTGCTTGACTGTTTTGGAGCAGAGTGAAGGTAGAAGGGGCACAGCCAGAAGGCGGGGGGTTGTAGGAACAATGCCTTCTATTTCTTACTTTCAAAGCAATTTCGAGAGTTTCCTTTTTATTCCTCTCTCTTTTGGCATCCTGCTAACTCCACAGAGCTGAACTCCCAGAGCTGAAACTTTCCACATGCCTAATCCTCAGTGAGGAAGAGAGTGCCAGGCTAGTGTGAAGGAGCCCAAATTATGAATGGCCAAGGACTGGCATTGGCAAAAGGGCAGAGGGAGGCTGGTAACAGCATCTTCTGGTTGCCTGAGGGTGTGGCTTCCAACAGGGAGGGTGCAGGCTGTGTCCTCGAGGGCTAAACATGGGTATCATGGCATTGTGCTTGATAACCATTCACCAATAATCAGTCAAATATGGACATCGTGGCGTCGTGCTTCCTAACACTTTACCAATAATCAATCGACAAAGATTCGTTCAAGCCACATCCCCCATCCTGGGGTGATTGTGCAAGGCACAGCCTCTGCTCTTGAGGAAAAATGGGAGGAACGAGGCTCTAAAAATAACGTATAAAGACTTTCCATCCCGCCATGTTTGAATTTTCTCTCTTAAAGTCCCCACACTGCTCATGGGACAGTCTCCGCTGGAGCCTTAGTGTTTCTTTCTTTGCTATATCCAGCAGTCGCTGCTGCCATCGGCCATTCCGAGATGGCTGATTTCCTTTCAGATAGTTCAGTTTTGAAATCGGTGCACATTTGACAGAGGAATGTTTCGCTTCAATCTCTTTTAAACAAAAGGACACGTGACCACTATGGCCCTCCTCCTTCCCAGAGGGTCCCAAACTTTCGGATTTCATGCACCAGTAAAATATCCAAAAACATTTTCAGCACCAAAGTACAGTAGCCAGCTTTCCATTTTGCCAAGTGAGGATGTTAGAAAAACAAACTACCATTTGCCATCACCTTTAATTAAAAAAGAACATCTTAACACCAAAAAAGTAGAAAAGCTATAACTTCAAAATAAAAGGCATTCTTAAAATGGGAAACACATTACAAAAAACTCAGTAAACTGTTTTTATTTCCCTTCGTTTTATTGCAGACCAGTAAAAACTGTCATAAGAATGTACCCTTTCGCAGACAGGCTCTTGGAGCCGCCATTTGGGGCCGTTTTGGGGTGATTGTGGGGGAATGGAGAGAGAGGAGAGCAGTCTACGCCCCAATCCCATAATGCAGAGGCTCAGCTCAGAACAAAGCTGAAGTGTTTATTTAGTGAGGAAGTCAGTTCTTGCTGAGACTTAGGAAAGCAACACAAGAGCGGATGCAAATGAAGTCCGTGAGGGCTGGCTCAACACCTCTGAAAACCTGAAACTTGTTGGAAAATCTTTCTTAGAAGATCTCATCCAGAAAGGTTATCTTCCCAAGCAGGTTTTTTTCCGCCAACAAATCTGGCTGGTTTGGAAACCTTTTAGAATTTTTATTTACCACAATGTATACATATTACATGCTGTTTTTATAATTTTCCCCCCTAACTACCCATTTTCCATGAGCTGTTCATTGTACCAGCCGAAGCTTGCCAACCCTGGTCTGCACTGAGGACCTAACTCCCTGCGTGGCGAGGGGCTTCCGGGGTTATGAGGAACCCACTGGGCAGACCTTCCTCCACGCAGGGACCTGTGTTGTCTTTGCATCCCCAGCACCCAGTATGACCAAGAGACGGTGCTTTCTAAATGTTGGCAGAATGTCTTAGCAAGTAAGGCAGAACCAGGAGTAAGCACATCACTGTGAGACATGGATCTGGGGCCTTGGGTTTTTGAGAGTGGAAGATGCTGTTAAAGTCAAGAATCATCAGCGCCTGGGAGGAGAAGGGTGGAAGCTAGATTGGTTCTGAGAGACCTTCTGAAAGGCAAGGGCCACCCACTCAAAGAAGGAAGCGACACCTAGACGGGTTGACTGCCGCATGACCTTCCTCTCACCCACGGCCAGGCTTGGGTCTCTGTCAGCAGAGAGGTGTGGCTTTGAGGGACTGGGAGTGATGCAGCATCTGTGGTCCACATGGAAAACCACTCAGGCCTTCCCTTTGGACTCCCTCCCTAAATTAAACCAGCGCAGGGAGCTAGCCTGGGCATGCCTCCTTCCGCAGGGTTTGCTGGCCCTGGTCTGGCTGCGAAGCCGGTCTCTGGTGGTGTGGTGGTGGTGACAGGGACCTGGTGGGCCATCAGGTGGAGACTGTGAAATCTGCCTCTGCTTTCCCCCTGACACCTCTCCCACTCTGCCACCGGGCCCCAGCCTCCCTGCGCCTCTAGCAGCTCCGCGACCATCCGGTGTCCCTTCCAGCCTCCAGAGCTTTGCACCTGCCCATCCCTCTTCCTGAAAGCGTCTGGCAGTATCTTTGCCCGGCCCACCCCCTTTGCACCAGTCACAGCCTCGCACTCTTCAGAGAGGTCTGCCCTCACCACCGCATCTGAAGCGCCTGGTTGGGCACAGACCGCTGTGTCACCCGTGATGCTGCCTGAAACAACATTGTTTTCTTGTTTCTTACTGGTCTCCCTCCCTCAACTGCAAGCTCCATGTGGGCAAAGGCTCTGTCTCTCATGCCTAGCACACAGTAGGGGCTCAGCCAATATTTATTGAATGAATGAGTGACAGATGGGGAAGACATTGGGTTTAGAGGGTCCAGTATGAGCCTGGCTGTGCTCTCCTGGGTTCCCACCTGTTCCCCAGGGGACATCCTGGAAGAGGTGGGTGGGCGCTGCACCCCAGTGTGTGTGTCTGCATGTGACTCTCCCTTGGCCACTGGCCGCTGGAGGTGACTCTGACGTTGCAAGGTGATAAAGGGCAGTGAAGAGAAAAGAAGTCATGGCCCCCGTGGCCTGTGGCTGCTGCGTGCTGCCGGCCTGGAGGAAGGCGTCCCAGCCAGCCCCACTTTACCCCTAGGCTGGACCCGGGGCCCAGAAGCAGGGTCCTTCTAGCTTCCAGTCAGGAGTTCTACCACTTGTGAGGGCAGGTGGGAGCTTCTGAGCAGATGCTCTCAAAAGAGGAAGAAGAGGTCAGACTATCTTGCCTTTGAGAGACCCTTAGGATCCCCCAGCCTCCTCAGCCCACCCTCATGTGATTCATAAGGAAACCGAAGCTCAGTGAGGTCAAGATCACATGGCTTGTGGAAGACAGAAACCCCCGCCCCGCCAACAACTCAAATCCCTGATTTCTCTGACCAGTGTTGAGCCCTTTTCCATGAACGAGACTCATTTTTATTCATTCAAGCGTTCATTCATTCAGTATTTATTGAGAGTCTACTCTGTGACAGTCTCTGTTCCAAGATCTGGAGCTCCAGGAGGGAACAAAATAAAGCGTCTGAATGCCTGCCCTCATGGGACTTCCCACCTGGTAGAGAGACAGACAACAAAAAGTGGACTCTTAAGTGTATAACAAAATATGAGGAGGCTCTGCTGGAGGCAACGTTCAAGTGGCTCCTAACCTCCGGTCATTCAGCCTTGGGTTGTCCAAAGATAGGAGGCAAACCGCACCCTGAGGCCTGTGGGTAGAGGGGAAGGAGAAGTGGGGCCCAGAGCCTTCAGAGGCCAGCGCTTGGCTTCCTGCTTGAGTGGAGGAGGCCAAGCAGCACAAAGCTGGGGCCCTTCTGGCAAGTGGGGTTCGGCCCCTTGGCCCCTGCCCTCACCCCTCTCCCTGTCTCGCCAGCCGTGTGCCAGCCACCGTGCCAGAACAGGGGCTCCTGCAGCCGGCCCCAGCTCTGCGTGTGCCGCTCCGGCTTCCGCGGAGCCCGCTGCGAGGAGGTCATCCCCGAGGAGGAATTTGACCCCCAGAACTCCAGGCCAGCCCCCCGACGCTCAGCCGAGGGCTTGCCCAACTTGCGCAGGAGCAGCCCAGCCCGAGAAAGCACAGCGGCCAGACCACGGCCACTGACACCAGAGCTGCCACCAGCCAGGTAAGTCCCCTCCTCAGGGGGCGTTGGGCCTGGGGCTTTTTCCTTAGGACCATTGTGGGAAGATGTTGGAGAAGGCCAGAGTTGTCCTTCCTTCCCTCTTCCCCCTGTCCCTGCCTTTCCCTGTCCCCTGAAGAGAAGGCGAGCAGGTGAGCAGGTATTGGGGTTGGCATAGACTTTGCCAGGCTGGGGTAGACAGGTGACGTGGGAAATAGGAGAAGGCTGAGGAGGGCATGTCCCTGGGACCAGGCTCTCTCTCTCTCTCTTTTTTAAATCTTCACCCGAGTATATATTTATTGATTTTAGAGAGAGTGGAAGTCGGGGAGAGAGAGACAGAGAAACATAGATGTGAGAGAGAAACACTGACTGGTTACCTTCCATAGGCACCCCGACAGGGGATCGAACCCGCAACCTAGGTATGCGCCCTGACTGGGATCGAACCCGCAGCATTTTGGTGTACACAATGACACTCCCACCAACCGAGCTACCATGCCGGGGCAAGGATCAGGCTCTCTTGTTTCCAACCTTGGCTTTGCCATCTCCTAGGTGGGTGACCTTAGGCAAGTTACCTCTCCTGTTCCTCATCAGTGGGGTGGGGACAATGATGACCATGATGTTGGAATTGTTGTAAGGATTAGGTTAGTTAACACAAGGAAAGCGCTTAGAACAGTGCCTGGCACATAGTAGGCTCTTTATAAATATCTCTCCATCTCTACCTGTGGTCTCTTTAATGCATGCAGGAAGCATTCCTTGGCCAGAAAAAACCCCTTCAAGTCACTCACCACCCATCGTTACCCTCTCCTTGGAGGGAGCATATGGGAGGAGGGAGAAGAAAGAGGGGCAAAGGGAATGTTCACGGGCAGGATTCCCTGGACTGCTTGCCAGCCAAACCGGCTAGACTTTTTCTAGCTCCGGACAGGAAATCTGAACTTTGTAAACGGGTCCATTTCTAGAGAGCTGTGTTTCCTTTTGGTTTTTCAGGTTAGTTTTTCCATTCGCTTTCTACTTAGGAAGTTCTTTGTGAAATGTTGCAACCTTGTCTTGCTGAACTAAGGGGAAAAAAGGATTCGCCCTTTCGGAGGCCAGGAGATCCAGGGAAAGAAGGCTGAGTGTGAGGTCAGGTCCCCAGCCGAGAGCTCAGGAGAGAAATGAAAGGAGCTTGAGATGGTCCAGCGACTCTGAAGAGGGGGCCGGGCCAACTGGGGTTTTGATAAGGTGGGGCTCCAGGGCCTGACCACCCAAGTAGGTGGTTTCCAAAGGCAGCCAGAAGCAGATGAAGTCAAGTTGAAGCTTAGGAAGCCCCAAGGTCAAAACTAGAAGAGCCAAACACTTGGGCCAAGGTCCAGCGATGCTGGTACAGAGAGAGGGGCAGAGCTAAGTGCCTAGGTGGACAATCCAGGGGGCAGGTGGGTGGGGCCTGAGCCTTGTTCTGATTAAATGTCTCAGCTCTGGGTTGCAGGTGGTGGGCAGGCACCTGGGGTACTAGACCCAGTGGTACTAGCTCCAGGGCCCGCCAGGGACAGGGTGGGAGCAGAGTCCTTCCAGTGGGGCCTTCCCCCTGTGAGCTCTATTTTGGCTTGTGTTATTCATTCATGCTGTAATGTACTATCTCCTGTGAGTGATGGAGAATGCTTTCTTGGCAGGTCATTCTGCCCTCCCACCCTTGAGTCAGAGCTGCCTGACATCCCCCGCCCCGTCCTGCCAGCCCATCCTGCCTGCTCCTCACATTCTTCAAGGCCCGTTCCTGCTTCCTCCAAACCTCCCCTCCCAATCACTTCTGCCCAACCACCTGACATCCTGCGGCACCCACTTGGCAAGCATCTCCGTGGGTCTGTGCCCTGTGTCCGCACTCAGCCTGTGCAGCCTGTGTCCTGGAAGGCACGGACTCCATCTCAGTGCTGACACTGCGTTTGCACTCTGTCACTTGGTCCGAACTGAAGAGTTGGCATTGAGCCCTCAACCTGGGCCTGGAACCGAGCTCGTGGCCCCTCTGCTGCTCAGGGCGCAGGAGGAGGTGAGGCTCCCTGCCTCCCTGTGTAGTACTTTTCACTCTGCCTTGGGGTGTTTATTTGCTCACTGGACCAGGGGCTCCTGAAAGCAGGGACTGCTCATTCATGAAGGTGGCCCTGATACCTAATACTGCAGGTGCCCAATCAACAGAAGCTGAATGAATTCATAAATGAGACTTGATGCTGGGGAGAGGAAGATGCTGGGAAGAAAGGAGGACAAGCGAGGGGAGCCTTTGATCTCCCAGCAAAGGTTTGAATGTGCAAGAGGTGCTGGAGGGTGAAGGCCCAGCGTGTGGTCCTTAGGCTCACAGCAGGGCCGCCCTCTTTGAGCGTCACAGGCTCCCTGGCCAGGGGCTACTGTGATGTTTTTAATGAGCTGCCGTCTCCAGGCCAGCCCAGTCCTCTCTCTGCCCTGGGACCTCAGTGCCATGAAATCTGGGAAAGTCCGAGGGGCCCACTGTGGGCCCAGCTGTGTTTTGCTTTGGGAGACCAAATCCTGCTTGCCTTGTGGTGTGAGACATTTCCTGTGAGCTGGGCCAGGTTTCCCAAGCAGCCGCCTGCCTCTCTCCTGCCGGCAACTTGGACAAGCCCTTGGTGTCCAGCTATAGGCAGTGGCATGACTCAGGGGCGTTCTAGGAGCGAGAGAGGGGTACAAAATGTCCAAGATGGGGGAGACCCTGCAGGGATTGGTGATGGCCAGAGGCCCCCTTTAGGAGAGGATTAGACGGAGGCCAAAAGACTTGGGTTCCAGAAGGAAGATGAGAGGGAGGGGCCAGGAGAGAGCCTCAGACTGCAGGCAGGACACCCTACAGAGAGCCAGACTTGGGTCTATGGATATTGCCCAGCTGTGACCTGGGCTGACTGCTCCTTCTGACCCCCAGGTCCAGGCTTGTTCCCCAGGACTGGGCAGATGACCTCCCCACCTGAGGAGCAAGGGCCAGGCAGCTGGGGAACAGCCTTGAGAAACTGGGGAAGGAGGTGGTTACAACCACCTGAAACCAGCAGACCTTGGAAAACAGTGCTTTACATGGTGCTTCTCAGCACTGCAGTGGGAAGTGAATCGCCTTGTAGCTGGTTAACGTGCAGCTTCTGATACAGCAGGTCTAGGCCTGAGTGCCAGGTCTCAGGTGATGTTCATGCTACTGGTCCATGGACCACACCTTGAGTGGTGAGAGTCCCAGCCTGGGCTTTCGGACAATCCTGGACTCCAATCCTGGATTTATTGCTTCCCAGCTGTGTGACATTGGGCAAGCCTCCTAACCTCTCTGAGTCAGCAGTCTCTACCCGAAAGGATTGCAGAGAGCATTAAATGAGGTCTTATGAGTAGGCACCTGATTTAAGTTAGTGCTCAATACATGTTGGCTATCAGTGGGCTGGTTCTCTTTGCTTTGGGGACGTGAGTGGACAGAGGACTGGCAAAGAGTAGACAGAAACCCAGGGTGCATGTATGTGGTTGGGCATGTGTGTGCATGTGCGCGCGCATGCATGCATGTGTGTTTGTGTATGCTGATCTGCTCTGGGGAGAAGTCAGAGCCCAGGCCCAGCCTCAGGGAAGGTGTGACTAGCAGGTGCAACAGTAGTACCAGTGGTGGCTTTGTCCAGCTTGGCTGTTCCACTAGGACCCGTTTCATTGGCTTTATGGCAGATGGTGTCAAGGGAAGGTGTCACGATATTTGTCAGAATGGGAGGGACTTCCACTGGCTTTGCTCGTTGGCCTGACCTGAGGACTTAGAGTCTGGCCCCAGGGGACACCTAATCATGCTTACTCAGTACTCGGGAAACAAGGGGCCTAGAAGTCAGTGCTGCACACAGCACACAGGGTTGGTGGGGAGGTAGCTGGGAAGCTGTGGACTCCGTGGTGGTGGCTCTCAGTGGGCTGCTCCCCCAGAAGGCAGCTCTTCTCTGCACACCCCATCTCTTTATATCCCCTGTATTAATTTTCTACGGCTGCAATCACAAATTGCCACAAATTTAGCAGCTTAAAACAATGCAAAGTACTATCCTATAGTTCTATAGGTCCAACACCTGGCACGGATCTGACCAGGCCAAAGTCAAGGTGTCACAGGGCTGAGCCCCTGGAGGCTCTAGGGGAGAATCCGTTTCCTTGTTATTCAGGTTGTTAGCAGAATCCTGTCCCATGCAGCTGCAGGACTGAGGCGCTCGTTTCTCTGCGGTGGCATCTAGAAGCTGCTCACCTTCCTTGTCTTGTGGCCACCTTCCTATCTTCAAAGCTGGCAGTGGCAGGTGAACGCTTCACATTTCGAACCCCCTCTGTTACTCTCTTCGGTTGAATCTTGCACTCTTTTCTCCGCTTTCAAGGGCCCCTGTGCTTACATTGGGCCCACCTGGATAACCCAAGGCACCTTCCCTGTGGTAAGGTCAGCTGATTAGCAACCTAAATTCCATCTGCAATCTGAATCTCCCCTTGCCATTTAATGTAACATGTCCAAAGGCATAACAGCAGGGGCCATAGATGGTGGGGGCCACATACCCCCGCAACCACTGCAGCCCATTCCAGCTGGGAGCCTCCGTCTGAAGTGTGGCAGCTCCATCGTCAAGGGCTTGCTGCCAGGGTGGACCTGGCTGCTTCCTGGAGGGAGAGGTCTCCTGTTTTCCTGTTATTTAATATCGTAAACCTCCAACTTGAGAGTCCCCTCTTTTGGCTCACTTTTTATTTCCACAGTACTTTTTATTTTCCACTTTCTAACATGACATATCATTTACTTATTACGTTTATTGTTTATCGTCCGTTTTTCCTCTCATACAGTGTGAGCTCCTCGAGAGCAGGGGCCTTTGTTCTGTTCCGATGTATCCCAAGCTCCCAGAACAGTTCCCGACAGATAAGAAGCGCTCAATAAATAGCCACTGAATGAGCATCCCTGTTGCAATGGGTCCCCTGTTGCTGCCTGGAGCAAAGATGGTGGTCTCGGGCCATCCCCTTCTGACCTCGCACTCTGCCCATCCCCTAGCCTGTCATGGATCAGGAAGGGGCTCTCCCAATGCGCCCAACAGGTGGCTACCTGCCAGCCTGTGCTCCTTGACCATGGGGGTCTCCTGAGCGAGGGCTGGCTCAGGGCCATGCTTCTCTCCTAAGCGTGACCACAGGGCAGCCAGAGCAGGGCTTAGCAGACCCATAGGAGTGCGGGGAGTCTGGCGCGGGGCTGTGGCAGCTGTGAGCGGTCTCCCCCCAGTTTCTTCCATCTCCTGGGCCTTAGAAGCATCCCATGCACCCCTTCCCTGGGGCTGTGGGTTTGGAACAGGGAGGGCTCAGGAGAGGGTAGCCAGAGGAAGATACTCCCTCCTGGGCCTCCGGCCAGAACAAACGGAAAGGGCTTTATTGTCCCAAGTCTGAAGTCACAGAAGCCCTGCTGCTGCTTTTTGAAAGAGTAGAAGAGACGTGTGTCTCAGCTGAGAACTGCCTTCACCGCCCGCAGCCCCCTCCCTGCTGCTTGCAGAGTGCTCTGGAAGTGCAGATGGGCCACTTTAGGGTTTGTGTAGGGTCCCTTGGCACTCAATCCCTGCCAACTGTGCCCATCCCTGCCCAGCAGAGACTACCGGGAGTAACTGGTGGGTGGGTCCCAAGTACTTGATTCCACCGGGGAGAGGAGGGAGGCAGGCTGTTCCACGCTGCAACTTCCAGTTACTGGACACGATTCCAGGAGACGACTGTCCCTGCAGAGTCTCTATGACAGTCGCTCCAGGAATTATGTCGTGCCCAGCTTGTGCAGGCGTATGTGGTGACCCTGGCCCTGGCTTCTTCCCAAAGGGAAGTGTCTCCCATTTCCCCCACAAAGTGTTTTGCTTCAAGGCAGCCCTTGCCGGCTGGGTTGAGCTGCTGAGGCCCCGTCTAGGTTTCTCTAAATGGGAGGCGGGCCTCTGGGGCCTTGCAGAGTTCATGTGCACCTCTTCTCCACCCCACCGCTTCCGAACACCTGAGAGCCGTAGAGCTCAGGGCCTGGGCAGGACCATAGCTGGCCTCAGGGTGCCTGAGTGAGTAAGACACAGGCTGGGGGCAGATGCAGCTGGGCATGCAGTCTGGCTATGCTTTGACTCGAGGCCTAGGGGGCCTGGCAGAGGTCATGAGAAAGCTGGGGGTCAGTGTGCTTCTCCCTGTGCAGCAGAGCCTGTGAACCCTTCCTGCTGTCCTGCTCTGCCCTGTGCATTCACCTCTGGGTTGGTGAAGATGCCAAGCTCAGGCCTCTGAGTGCCTGGGGCCTTCTAACGCCTCTCTTGCTCCCCACATAGAGCAAGTGGGAAGATTCAAGAGAAATGGTGTCTCCTTCCAGTACACTTCCCATTACCTCTCTCCCTCTCCTATTTAAGCTTGCAGGCGGACAGCTAGCCTCGATGCTTGAGCCAGCCCCCAAATCTCTGATGAAGACTGCATCACTCCCTTTTCCAGCATTTTCCCAGAGCTGAGGACTATCCTTGCCTAGGCTGGGTGCCAGAGAGGGACTTCCTCCGAGCCCAGCCCTGGCCCCAGCCCTCTAAAATCTCCGAGATAGGAGCTGTCGGCCTCCTACCTGCTCACAGCGGCAGCAAAGTGATAGAGGAAGCTATGAGTCTCTTCCTCTTCTAATTCCCCTTCTTCATCATCACCATCCACAGGGTTCCTTGCCCCTGCTCTGTGTTTTGGGCACCGTACTAGATGCTCTGCCTTCCTCTCCCCTCACCTTCCCCTCCCTACACCAAAGCACCAGCTCAGTGACATGCAGGAAATGGATGTTACACCGAATGTCTTTGGCCAATTATGTGATGTCCAAGGATGGCGTATAAATGTGGTGGTGAGCAGGGCTCCACCTGCCCCTGGGACGGCAGGGAGCCTCCCTGTGCTCACCACAGCCCTGACCTAGCCTCAGCCCAATGGGGCATCTAGAATTGTGGTTCCAGTGGTGAATGTTTGAGTCAGGACTGGGTGGGACTAAGGTTATGGTTGAGGGGACATTCTATTTCACAATAGGGTGGTGGTTAGGGTAACTGGAGTGTGGTATTAGAATGAGGTTTTAACCTGAGGGTTGTGGTTAGGGTTGGGTTAGGGTTATGTCACAGTAGAATTTAAGACTGTGGGTTTTTTGAGTATGGTAATTTTAACCTACCGTTTATGAGCATTATTTGTAAAATTTTATTGATTGATTGATTTTTAGAGAAAGGGAAAGAGAGAAACACCAATTTGTTGTTCCACTTATTTGTGCATTCATGGGTTGCTTCTTGTATGTGCCCTGACCAGAGACTGAACCCCCAACCTTGGCGTATTGAGACGATGCTCCAACCAACCGAGCTGCCCAGCCAGGGCAATGAGCATTATTGGGTCAGCTGGCCTACTGTGCAAAGCACTTTACAGGCATCATGTAATTTAATACTGGGGACAATACGGCATAGTGGTTAAGAGCTTGGGTCATGAGTCAGACTTTAGTTTCCCCTGATTCTGTCGCTCACTAGCTGTTTGATTCTACATGAGTTTCTTCACTTCATTGAGTTTCAGTATAAATTGATGATGCCAACACTGGCTAGAATAAAGTAAAATACAGGGTTGCAGTCAGAATACAATTTTAAAAAGTGGACAAAGTGCTAAGCCACATAGCTAAGTGCTCAACACTTGATAGCTGATGCTCTTTCTTAGGTGCCTCAGTCAGAGTTCCAGCAGGTAACAGATGGCACACTCCGTGGGGACAGTTTGAGAAAGGTCTATCTGCAGGGCACAGACAGGGTTAGGGGAGACAACAAAGGATGGGGCACCCTGGGAGTAGCTGAGTGGGGAAGCCCTCACTTAACCCTCCAGGTCTAAAGGGGACAGGAGTCTGGCCTTACTGGAACTCGGAGGAGCTCCAGCCATAGGAGAGGCCAGAATAGGCCTGTGGCCTCTGGCAGAGGAACACCCACAGCGGCCTGTCAAGGAGAGGCCTGGGAGGATCAATGCCTCTGTTTCTGGCTGGGTCCCACGTGGGCCAGGGCAGGTAGAAGATCTCCAGCACATTGACCAGTCCCCACAGTGACCCCATGAGGAGGTTGCTTCTCTTGCTTCCCGCTCCACGATGGCAATTCCAGCCCAGCTCTGCTCCAGACTCCAGAGCCCCTGCTTGCAGCCATTTTGCTGAGGAGCTGCTGGAGCAGGTGAGCTCAGGCGAGCCCAGACCAGGAAGCCTGGCATGGGAGCTGCGGAGGCCTGGGGCTGGCCTGCCCTCCAGTATGTTTCTCAGGAAACTACAGAAACTTGGCCAGAGTCTGGAGCAGCATTCTCCACAGCCATGCGTGGGGAGCAGAGGCAGCTTGTTGGGTCATTAAAAGGTTAATATATGCAGTTTCCAGCATCCAGCTTAAAAAAATAGTAACAACAAACATTTCAGGCGTGTGGCTGTACTTATGGCATTTAACTGACCTAATCCTCCAGGATTTTTGTTTGAAAGGAAAGAGTTAGGGAGCGATGAAGCAAGAAGGAAATGGAAAGATAGTTAATACTCTTTCTCAGATGCCCCAGGGAATGTCAGTCCCATCCGGTCGCTTTGTTCAGGCTGTGGCTGCTCAGTAAACGCCACCCTCGGGGTTGGAGGGGGTGTGTGTACCAGAGAGAGACGTGGGGGCGTGGGTGGAAAGCTGAACTGAGAGATCATGCCTCAAACCTCACAGTGGAGGCTTTTCGGGTCCTGTGAATTTTCCTTTTGAGCTCAAGGTTTTCGAATACATATCAGGTTTCACCCCTTGTCCACAATGCAGAGGAAGTTTCGGATTTATGGGTCCGGTAGTTTTTCCAGTTACGTGATGTTTAAATCTGCCACTGCTTAACTAAGTTGCCACTGTCAGAAACAGGCACTGTAAGCCTCCCAGGTGAAAATTACTTCACCAAAGTAAAGGGGTACCAAAGTGGTGCAGTCAGTCCTTCATATCGACGGGCCCTATGCCCGCAGATTCAACCAACCTCAGATGGAAAATATTCAGGGAAAATATTCAGAAAAAAATCAGTTGTTGCTGACCTGTACTGTATAGTTAGGCCTATGAGTCTGTACTGAACATGTGCAGACTTTTTTCTCATCTTCATTCCCTAAACAATACAGTATAACAACCATTTACATAGCATCTACATTGTATTAGGTATTATAAGTAATATAGAGATGACTTAAAGTATATGAGAGACTATGCGTAGGTTACATGCAAATACTATCCAGTATTATACAAGGGATTTGGCTTTTGGTATGTGTGGGAGGGTGGGTCCTGCAACCGATCCCCCAGGGATAGGAGGGAAGGTTTTATTATGGTAACAGCAATACAAAGGGGACTCTGCACTGTACATTTATTTCCACTTGTGGAACTGACATGTGTCAGCGTTCCTCCTTATCCGCCCCAATCACCAGCTCACCTGCGTGCACACGCACATGCATGCCCACGCACACTCCCCGCCTCGGGTGTGGGCTCAGGAGGGAGACTTAAATCTTGCAGGATGATTTCCCAGAAAAGGATTAGAAAAGGAAAATGGGTTAAATACAAAGTCATCTGATGCCCAGGGTTGTAAGATTGGCTGCTCAGGACCCAGAAGGGTGTGTATGCATGTCTGTCTGTCTGTCTGCAGATGACATAGTAAGGATTGCTAAATGATTTCCAATAACAAAATGTGAAAACACATAGTTGCTTTGTTAGCCACATAGCTGTGGTTTTGTGTCCGTGATTCATTGTGGAAGTGAGTAGCTGCGACAGGCATTTTGTGGGGTTTTTTTCTTCTTCTTTTTTGTCCTACAAAAATATTTGTGAAAGGTCTAAAATTCAAGGAAGTCCAGTGATTTTTGAAAAGAAAAATCCCCGTTCCTTGCAAAATGAAGATTGCGAATCAAAGCCTCTGGAGCTGCCACATTTCTGCTTCCTGCCGGTCACCGACACTGCATTTTGCTCCGCACCTCTGCCCCGGGCTGCTGCCGACCACGTCCTCCCACAGGTGCGCCCAGTTGGGGCGAGGGGTTCCGCCAGAGGCCTCTTGAGGGGATCCGGTACCGGGAGGAAGAAGGGGTGTCTTCTTGAGACCTCAGCCAAACCACACTCTTGGGAAACAAACTGATTCCACATTTCTTTCTTTCTTTGAGGATCTTGGGTCAAAGTCAGAGACCCTACAGCAGGCTGCGGTGTGTGAGGAAGGAAGTGGGAAATCATTTATATCTTATAGTTAGGCACCTCTGAGTTTGAGTCCCATCTCTAGCACTTGGTGGCTGTGCTGTCTAGAGCAAGTGAATTAACCTCATGAGCCTCAGTTTTCTCAGCTGTAAGATGGGGGGGACCTCACTACCTTATAGAATTGTCTGGAGGATTACTAATGTATATAAAAACGTCTGAAGTCTTTTGGATGTTCTATGAATGGCACCCACTCTTATTTTTCCTAGACTCTGGGGTTATCTGAGCCTTTTGTTTCCATCAGAAAAATAGCAGTGGTAAAGAGACACTGTGAGTTTGCCCAGATCACTTGAAAGCATTTCTGGCCCTGGCAGGGCTTCCCGTAATGGCCAAGGGTGAATGAACATCAGGCTGGGGAACATCATCTGCCAAAGACAGAAGGAGCTCAGGCCCCGAGACACACACAGCGCTTCCCTGCTGGTGGGGATCCAAGGCAGGTTAGCAGCTTCTCTGTGTTTTAGTTTCTCTTCTGCAAAATGGGGGACCATAGGTCCTATAGCAGAGTTGCTACATTCATCAAGCGAGACATCAAATGTAAAGGGCTAAACAAAAATAAAAAAGAAAATGCCTGTAGCCGATGTCTGGCATATAATCGGTTGGTAGCTTTGGGCTGCTACAGTACTGAGCGAAGCCTTCTCTGGTTGGGTCCCGGTTCTCGTAGGAATCTCTTGTTAA